CTTTCCAGTCCTGCTGGTTTTGCATTGAGTTTGTTCCTTTGATAATTACAACAAATGCCCATCTGATCCAATTGCAACAAGAATCTTCAAAACATTAAGTGCAACAACAACAGCAAAAACTTCTTTCCTTAATTCTTTTTAGAATTGTCTTCTTTGGTAGATACACGAGTTATCTATTGTTGCACAACATAATAACTTGTTGTTAAGTGCCATTAAGTTGGTTCTGACTCAAGGATCCTGTATAGGATTTCTGACGCTTTAAATCTTTGTGGGAACAGAAAGCCTCATCTTTCTCCCAGGGATCAGCTGGTGGTCTTGAACTGCTGACCTTGTGGTTCACAGTCCAGTGCTTATCCTACAGAGCTACTGCACTCCCTAATCCAAAACTTAGTGGCTGAAAAAAAAAAAAAAATCATCCAGCTCACTGTGAGCGAGTTGGTTATGTCCTATTCTGAGAGTCCCAATCAGAGGTTGGTTATCCTTTGGCTCTGAGTGTCAGACAGGAATCAGTTCTCAGAGTGCTCCCCTAGAGAAGATCTGCTTCCCCCTCCCTCCTGTGGGTGTTGGCAAGATTCGGTATCTTATGAACTGTTGGAGTGAGGCCTCAGTTCCTCAGGAAATGTTATCCAGTGGCCTCTCTCAATTCCTTGTCACATGTAGGGCATCTCCCAACATGGCCGTTGACTTCGTTATCAAGTGGACAAAACAGTCTGCCAGCAAGAGAGAGGGTGCAGACGAGACTGTTCCTGGAAGTGACCTTCCATTCCATCAGTGTGCTGTATTCTGTCTGTTAGAAGCCCATCACCAAGTCCAGCCATCCTCAGTGGGAGGGAATTGCATAAGGCCATGAATTCCGGGAGGCAAGGCTCATTGAGGGTCAGTTTGAAAGCTGCCGACCACAGTACGGACAGTCCAAATGACCATGGGGGGCTTTGGTTTTTGAAGTTTAATTTGATTCTACTGCAGAGCCATAAGGAGCTCTGGTAGTGTAGTGGTTATGAATCGGGCTGCTAATCTCACAGTCAACAGTTTGAAACTACCAGGTGTTCTGCAGGAGAAAGATGAGGCTTTCTGCTCCCGTAAAGATTTACAGTTGGGGAACCCCATACAGGGTTACTATGAGTCGGAACCGACTCCACAGCACATAACAACAACAACAACTGCCGAGCTATTGCATTTGGTAGTGCAGGGTCGTACTGTGTTTCTAGGGTTGTACTGACTCATGCATTGATTGACCCTTGTGCACTAGCCGTCGGGCAGCTGAGAGGGACCACGGCATGACAGGGAAGTAAGGAAGGGCTTTCAGCAGAATAGAGAAAACAACGCGTGCAAAGTAAGGAGCCTGAGGAAGAAGGTCTGCGTGAGTCAGAGCTGTTGGTGTGAATGCCATCAAGTTACTTCTAACTCATAGGGACTCTGGTGAGTTCGAACTGCCCACCCATGGTTAGCAGTTCAGTACTTATCCTACAGCACCATCCCGGGACCCCCACATAAATCACAGGAGGGGTTACTAATCCAAATAGAACTGAATAGTAATCTGGCACTGCTGTGTGAATGGTTTGGAGGGACACGGACTAACAAAGGTGACAGTAAGTAACTGTTGTAATAAACCCAAACCAAACCTGTTGCTGTCAGCCATCTCTGACTTAGTGACCCCCTAAGACAAAGTAGAACTGCCCCGGAGGATTACGAAGGATCTAACCCTTTATGGAAGCAGTCTGCCCCAGCTTTCTCCTGTGGAGCGGAGCGATGGTGGGGAATGGGGAGGACATTGACAGAGACAAATCAGAGCTACTTTGAAGCTGGAATGACCCCAAGTTAGCAATTCAGTGGATGAGAGTTAAGGAGGGGTCAGAGGTAACCTAGAAACTTCTGTCTGGTAACTTGGAGAAGTGTGCTACTATGAACAGAGATGGGGAAGAAGACTTTTGTGATGAATTAATTGTGTTTAACTAAAAATTTCGGCCACTTGGTTCTCAATAAAAATATCTGTACCTGTTTTCAGAATTACACCTGTCCTCTACACACCCAGAGATTTTTCATTACGAATGCAGGGGTGAGGCTGTGATCTCTTTACTGTTCCCTAGTTGATTTGGATGCAGAGTTAGGGGTTAGAACCACAGACCTTACTGACAGTTTATGAGGGCATATTTATTTCATTAAAATTATGGATTATAATTCTGAGTTCCAGTGTGGCACTGTAGGATAAGCACTGGACTGCTAACCGCAAGGTCGGCTAACAGTTCACATCTACCAGTCGCTCCTTGGAGCCCCTGTACAGAGTTACTATGAGTTGGAACCTACTCAACAGTGCTTAACAACACCAGTTTACTAACCTGAGGGACTCTGCTGGCGCTGTGATCTAATCACAGGTCAGCAGTGTCACCTGTCACATAAACCCCCCCAGCCTGCTCCTCTGGAGAAAGATTCATAGCCTCAGAAACCCTACTCAGAGTTGCTTATGAGTCAGAACCAACTGGACCACATGCAACAGCAGCAGCGACAACATTATCATTGCGACGGAAGCGCTGTTAAAAGCTATAAAGCAGCCAACGTGACACATACTCTTTTAAGCTGGCTTCTCTAGAGAGACAAAGGCAGTGAAGCGTGTGTGTGTGTGTGTGTGTGTGTGTGTGTGTGTGTGTGTGTGTGTATAATACAGAGACTGACTCACTTCCAGGAAATGACAAGTCCCAGATCTGAAAGCCAGGCAATAACTGGAGGCTTCTCTGGCTGGCTCACAGGGTTACGGGAGCTGGCACATGGAAAACTGCAGGTCAAGGTGAGCTGAAGGCTTCTCTAAGAACCCCAGGGCTAGAGGGGATATATATATAAAAAACATTCATATATACTGGATTCAGGCCACACCCCCTCAGGGAACTCCCCTTCCAACTGACTGGGTGCTCAACCACTGAGAATCATGGTCTTATCCCATATACCCTATTGGAACTCAGTCCAGTCAGGAAAAGAGGTTTATAAACTAAGAGCTTATACACAACACAGTGAGTGATTTAAAAAAAAAAGGCATGAAACTTTTGATTGTGCCGGGGTACCGTAGATTGAGCTGTGTACGTAGGAATTTACTGCAATGCAATGATGCGGTGGTAGAGAGCATTCCAGACAAAGGGAACAAACAGCGACCCAGGAGCAGTGTCAACAGTTGGATCTTGGTTCCTAGTTGGCAAACAAGCCTCAGGTTGTCAACATTTGAAACATTTGAGGGACAGAAACAAATGTTCCTTTTGTATTGGTTTCACTGGTTGCCATTGTTTCTTTTTCTGTAGTATGTTGGACTATAATACAGTAGCCATTGACTGTAAACCAGCTGCAACTGCCTTACTCCCCTCTCCCCCAGGGTGGTGTGGAGGGGACCCTAGTTAAAGAAGAAGATGGCCAGTAGCTAACCCTACTCCCGGAACGCTAAACCAGCTCCATGGATGGCGACCCCACTGAGTGTACAAAGTAGGACTGACTGTGTTCCACAGGCTTTTCAAGGCTATGATCTTTTGGAAGCAAGGAAGGCCTTTCTTTTTTTTTTTTTAATGTTTTATTGTGAATTGTGTGATAGTCTACATGGGAGAACGTTAGCTTTACATTCATTCCATCATCTATCATTTCATTGGCATAGTAACCATCCCATCCATGCATCCTCAACCAAAGGGTGTACCCTGTAAACCTGCACCACCACCACCACCATAGTCCTCAGCCCCTTTCCATCTCCTAATCCCGAGTCCCCAGCCACACCATCTCTTGACGTCGTCTTCTCTGCCTCCATCTCAGGCCTCACCGCCTCTCTGGGTAGGATCCCGCTCTCCACTTTTCTCCATCAATGGTCCCAGGGTCCTCCGCTCCTAGACTGAAAAGTTAATCACTCCCCTCCTTGCTACAAAATGTCCACCTTTAGATTTCCAACCCTCGCAATCCTTCCTGATAACAATTATTCACTATTGTATCACAAGAGACCCATCTGTATTTCGTTTCATCAGCCCTTCCTGGACAGGCTGGACACCACTCACTGGAGACTCTACCTTCCTCCACGCCCTCTGGTTCTAGGTTCCCTCTTGAAAGCTTGTAAGCCAGTCACTTCTTACCTTTGTATCCCTCCCCCCATTTTGGGTAGCCAATGTCCAAGTTGCCCATCCCTGTCTACCCTTTGTGTGGAGTGGGTTGGAATAGTTCTTGCAGCACGGATTTGTTTCCTCTTTTGAGCTACTACATTTATAGGTGTAGGTCATGTGTATCGAATTGTATCTGATGACGCTTTTTTCCTCTTCTTTTTTCTTCTGGTTAAGCTCTGTTTATCCAGTCATTGAAGTCAGGTCAAGTGGGTATCATCTGCAAGTGTGGGTGTTCTTGCATCTGTCTGGCCTCTTTTTATCCGCTGGCCACCCCGCTCTCCACTCTAGACCTCTGTGACTGTGTCATTGACTCTGAGCACCAGGCCTTTCTTTGGAGGCACCCTGCCTGGGTTTGAATTTCAACCTTTCCATCAGTAGTCATGTGCACCACCCCTACCCTATTATCCTATTATAAGGCTTTCCTTCTTCCACGTGCCTGCTCTTTTCAACAGTAGGAAGTCCCTGATTGACTTATGAAGAGAACCCCAGTGTCCTTCCTGCCTGGGGCCTTCTACCACTGGATTTTGTGAATGAATGACTGTGCTTATTTTCGGAACCCTGTGATTGACTTTGCTTCTGTTCTGCTTTGCGACCTGCCCTGTGTGTTCCTCATAAAATCTAAAATAACAGGAACGATGTGGCTAGTGTGGTATTTTGTGCAAAATCTCTTCCTCTTTCAAATGAGTATAAGCAGTTGTAAAAATTTCTTAAGCCAGTGTTGGCTTTGTAAATTTGAAGCAGCAGTGAGTTTAGGGATGAAGAAAGCTAGAAAAGTTGATATGAAACTGTCTTGTTCCATGTAAATGTCATCAGAATAATCAAATTCGGTAACAGATTTGGTGGCAATTTTTGTTCAAAGCTGTCACTCCTTTTTTTTTATAGTGAAGAATGAAAATCTGGAGGAAAAAGAATACTCTGGAATTATCATTGTAAGGATTTTAGTTCATGAGTGGCCTATGACATCTGCTTCCAGTTTGCAACTAATTGTCATTCAAGAAGAGGTGGTAGAGATTGATGGCAGACAAGTAAGACAGTATGCTTACTCGTTGGATATTACACTGTACAGAGTTGAATTTGTGTTAGGTATTCTGCATGTGTTAAATGATTGTTTCTGAGTTAATAAAGAAGGTACCTTAATACCTGTATACAATCATTTAGAGTTTTTGTTTACTTGTTTTAGCATCTTGAAATGTCTTAATTTTTTAAACATTGATTATATTCATGCATGTTTAAGTCACTTTAAAATGTTATGAACATCATTAAACTAAGTAAGTAAGTGTTGAGACGAGTCCATAGCTCTGCTCCCCAGTCCTCTGGCTAAGTTTTCTAAATGAAAGGAACCCTAAAGTCAGCTTGCTTTGTTGGTGAATGCTTTTGGACCAATTCAGACTCCAAGCGACCCTACAGGGCAGATGCCCCCTACGGTTTCTGAGGTGGTAATCCTTAAGAAAATAGATGACTACAGCTTTCTTCCATGGAACAGCTGATGGGTTCATACCACCAGCAGTCATACACAGCACCAGCCAGCCTCCAAGCTTTTACTGTTGTTTTTGGGACATGCCATTGAGTCAGTTCAGACGCATAGCAATCTGTATAGGGTTTCCTGAGGAGTGGCTGGTAGGTTTGAACTGCCGACCTTGCAGTTAGTAGTCCAGTGCTTATCCTATAGCACCACACCAGTACTCTAGCCTTATACTATTGTTGTCAAGTGCTGTCTAGTTGTCTTCTATATAGGGTTTCCAAGGAGCAGCTAGTGGATTTGAACCGCTGACCTTGCAGTTTAAACTGAATTTTCGGTCCAATGCTTATCCTGCAGCGCGCCACACCAGGACTCCAAGCTTTTACTAGTGAGCACTAAAGCAGATAGGGATTTGATTAAAGTTACAAATTAAATGGTGGGGGGTGGGAAATCGAGAGCAGTGATTTGGTTAGAACCAGTTGTTGAGTTACAGAAATCAGGCAGGAAAATGCTGTTTTAGAGTCCTGTGGAGCCGAGTCCGTATTTAAAATAAAGGGTCATTGTTTATTGTTTCTTTCATAGGCTCAACAAAAGAATATTACTGAAATCGATATTTTAGTTAAGAACCAGGGACTAATGCTCAGACATTCAAACTACACGCTCCCTTTGGAAGAAAGCATGCTGTACTCCATTTCCCGAGACAATGACGTCGTATTTACCCTTCCCAATCTCTCCAGAAAAGGTACAGACTGGTATTATGAATGTTAAGGGGATGATTTCTTGGGTTGAATTTTATGACACTTTTAACAATTTCTATCTGTTTTTAATCATAACTGGTATAACATGTGGACTCCTGGTATGACACTGTCGGACCAACACTGGACTAGACTGATTATCCAAGTCAGTTCCTATTCATAGTGACTGGTGAGTTTGAACCACTGACCTTGTGTTTCAAACCGACCTGTGGTCCAGTGCTTATCCTACAGTGCCACACCAGGACTCCATTGTAACAAAATCCTAACTGCTGTAGCTCCCGTAGACATTAGTCTGTTTCTGGACTGTCTTCTGCTCTGGCGATTTGTCTATTCCTGTGGCTGTAATATAATTTTAATTACTGTCTTTATAAAACCTTTGATAGCTGATTGGATCCAATCTAAAGACCTTCTTTCGTTTCAGTTAATTCTGTAACAAAGAGAGAAACTCTGTCTAAGGCTGCAATTCATTGATGAGTTTTGGGTAGAAAGTTGTGTGGGCCCAGTCTGTTTGCCCACCTGTGTAAATCCAATGTCTGCTTGGAGAGCTACAGCTACCCTACCCTTCCTTTCCTCCAGCACCAAGTAGTGCACCTCCTCGTAGACCTTTTTTCATTCCCTCAGTCAGTTTCCCTAAAGTCAACTGTGGACCCAGGGAGTTTGTCCAACTATTATAAACTATGAAATGCCCTCCTGACTTTTTCAGTGACTAGATCATTTGACTTTTTCCTGCCATGGTAAACTGTATATTTGTACTGTCCTAATTGCAGTCCTCTTAGGGACTAGAGGGGAGCCAGCAGCATGTCCAAGCACAGTAGTAACGGTGCTCTTCCTCCTCAGTGGACAGTGGTGGCTCACTGCAGACCACCAGTCAGTATCTCATCAGGAATGTGGAAACCACCATAGATGAAGATGCTTTACCTGGTAAACTACCTGAAACCCCTCTCAGAGCAGAACCCCCATCTTCATATAAGGTAAGTTAGATACTGAGTGTTACCTTTAGAGTACCAGCAGTTATGGTTAAAACAATCAAACAGAAACAAACTAAGATTTAAGATCGGGTGGAAACCATGGAGAGTGTTTTAAATAATGGCCTTATCATTGTTTCATCTTGATGTTGTTAGCTATTCCTGTATTTTCCTGATTTCATTGAATGCTAAAGCAGGTCATTATCAAGGCATTGGATTTCATTTTGCTTGGAAACTTTCATTTCTTTCTCATACCCCATTTCTTGTTTTATTCTGTAACTTCTGTCTTCTATACCTGTGGTACGCTCAGGATCTGGTACAGTGATTAAGCACCGTAGTTACTAGTATATTCTCGAGTCAGCCTGTGTCTGGGTTTAAATCCTGGTTCAGTTGTGTGAGCTTGGATGGGTTCTTAGCCTCTCTAACCTCAGTTTCTTCATCTGTAAAATGGGACAGTCACTGTATAGGTTGTTCCTGTAAATGCTCATTATAAGAGCCAAGTAAGATGAGTAAGTACTACAGGCCGCCACTCTTTATCCCGGGCCTCCTAGGTCCTGGGTTCTCCGCAGCCAGCAGAGCCTGCCAGAGGTTTTCAGAGCCTCCTCCACCCAGCATGACCCGCCGGGTGAGCGGGCAGTGGGCAAGCTGGCCCTGGCCGCCAAGCACCACAGGCTGATCTGGCTGCCTGCTCCCAGGAGCCGTGATATTGGGCAACTCCGCACTAGAGCCAGCAGCCCACGGCACTGCTAACCCTGAAGTAAACGACCCTCCAAGTGCCAGGAGAACATCATTCCCGACAAAGTAATGGCTGCCCCGCAGCCCCAGACTCAGGACTGGCTTACAGCTCCGTGGAGTGGGCCCAAGACACAGTGGGTTGCACCTCGAAAAGATACTCCTGTAAATGAGGAGCAGGCCACTGTTCCTCCCTGGAAGGCAAACAGTAAGCAGCCTGCATTCACCATTCATGTGGATGAAGCAGAAGAAAAGCCCCAAAAGAGACCAGTAGAATCTTAAAAAAAAAAACCAATGTGTGAAAGTGTCCTGGCTTTTAATTCAGCTGTTGCTTTACCAGCACCAAGAAAACCATTATCGAAAGAAAGGGTGGTAGTTAGAATCACCACATACGATGGCCATGTCAGGTGTAGCAGAAGATGAAGAACCAGTGAGTGTTAATGAAATCCCAGCCTTCCATGAAGTCATCCAGAAAGACCTCAGGGAATTGAAGCTTAAATGAGAGCCTGAAGTGGGTTACAGAGTCCTGGGGTGGCGCTGTGGGCTAATGCGCCAGACTGCAAAGCCCTTTGAACTACAAGGTCGGTGGTTCAACCTCGCCAGCTGTTCCTCGGAAACCCTATACAGGGTCACTATGGGTCGGAATCGATTCAACCTCACTTAACAACAACAAAGTGGGTTACATGAGAAAACCAGCAGACATCACTAACAGTGTGAGAGCTACCCGTGCGGACTGGTTAGTTGAAGTCGGAGAAGACTAGAAACTACAGAATGAGCCCCTGGCCTTGGCTGTGAGCTGCGGTGATAAGTTCATTTCCTCAGAGTCTGTGTCAAGAAGGAAACTGCAGCTTGTGGGCATTGTTGCTGTGCTGTTAGCCTCAAGGTTTGAAGAAACACGTCCTCCAGAAGTGGTAGCATTGGCGTCCGTTACAGATGTTACCTGTACTGAGACACAGGTTCTGAGAGTGGAGCACCTGGTGTTGAAAGTCCTTGCTTTTGACTTAGCAGCACCAATAGTCAGTGAGTTTCTTACCCAATACGCTTTGCATCAGCAGCCTGTAAACTGCTAAATGGAAAGGTTAGCAATGTTTTGGGGACAGTTAAGTGTGATTATGCTGACCCGTACCTAAAGTATTGGCCATCAGTTCCTGCTTGGGCAGCCTTTCACATGGTCCCCTGTACAGCTGCAGGACACAGCTGGCCTGACTCATAGTCCCATGCCTGGGAAGATTTACACCTTGTCTCATGGGTCTCATGGCCCAGATGTGCCTCAGAGCACCAAACCTGCACAGTAGTCAGTCAGGGAGACACACACAGACTCCGCATCACGGTCGTTCTCTCCTTGGCCCACCCACCCAACATAGCACACTTGTGAAAGTGAAGAGACTGCTTTCGTTTTCTGAGATGTAGCTCACTCAGAGTACATGAAGTTCAAGTTTCATCTTTGGCTTTAATTTTATAATCTGAAAAAGAAATTGTGGTCAATAACACATTATATGTATTACATTTTAAAAATGGTTTTATTTTGTAGATATTTTGTACATATAACTATTTTAGATACTTGGCTAATTTTAAGTGGCATTATTAAACAGAAAATTAATTATGCTGTCAGGATAATGATAATAAAGTGATTTGGGAAAGAAAAAGGTTGATTACTACATATAGATATACTGTAGCACCTACGAAGTATTTATAACCACCACTCATCTGTCAGTTTGTCGTACTGTGGTGGCTTGTGAGTTGCTGTGATTCTGAAAGCTCTGCCATGGGTATTTGAAATACCAGCAGGGTCACCCATGGTGGACAGGTTTCACATGAGCTTCCAGATGAGGACAGACTAGGAAGAAGGAGAGACGAACTACTTCTCTGACTATTTAGTCACTGAAAACCTTATGAATAGCAGAGAAACACTGTCAGATATAGTGCTGGGAAATGAGCCCCTCAGGTTGGAAGGCACTCAAAATGCAACTTGGGAAGAGCTGCCTCCTCAAAGTAGAGTTGACCGTGATGACACGAATGGAGTAAAGCCTGTGGGAGTAAAGCCCACGGGACCTTCATTTGCTGATGGGGCACAACTCAAAATGAAGAGAAACAGCTGTAAACATCCACTAATAATCATGGAAAGTGCAAAGTATAAATCTAGGAAAATTAGAAATTGTCAAAAATGAAATGGAACGCATAAACGTAGATATCTTAGGCATTAATTAGTGAGTTGAAATGGACTGGTATTGGCCATTTTGAATCTAACAACCACATGGTTTACTATGCTGGGAATGACACAAATTGAAGAAGAATAGTGTTGCATTCCTCTTCAAAAAGAACAAATCAAGATGTGTCATGAGGTACAATGCTGTCTGTGATAGGATAATATCCGTGCACCTGTGTTGTTGGTGTTGTTCGGTGCCGTCAAGTCAATTTTGACCCATAGCAACCCTGTATAGGGTTTCCAAGGGGCAGCTGGTGAGCTTGAACCGCTGACCTTGCAGTTCAAATGGCTTTGCAGTCTGGCACGTTAACCCACAGTGCCACACCAGGACTCCATGTCCCTATAGGGAACACCAATTAATACCACTATTATTCAAATTTATATACCAATAGAAGAATTCCTTGAGACAAAATAGAAGAATTCCACCAGCTTCTTCAATCGGAAATTGGTCAAACATGCAATCAAGATATATTGATAATCACTGGCGATTGGAATGCAAAGGTTGGAAACAGAACAGATCAGTAGTTGGAAAATACGACCTTGGTGGCAGAAATTATGCTGAAGATTGCATGATAGAATTCTGCAAAACAATTATTTATTTCAAATACCTTCTTTAGACAGCATAAGAGACAATTATACACATGGACCTCACCTGGTGGAATACACAGGTATCAAATTGACTACATTTGTGGAAAGAGAAGATGGAAAAGCTCCATATCATCAGTGAAAACAAGGCCAGGGGCAGACTGTGGAACAGACCATCAACTGATCATATGCAAATTCAGACTGAAGCTAAAGAAAATGAAAACAAGTCCATGAGAGCCAAAACATGACC